AGCCCCATAGGGGAAATCATAGAGAGGGAGCCCCATAGGGGAAATCATAGAGAGGGAGCCCCATAGGGGAAATCATAGAGAGGGAGCCCCATAGGGGAAATCATAGAGAGGGAGCCCCATAGGGGAAATCATAGAGAGGGAGCCCCATAGGGGAAATCATAGAGAGGGAGCCCCATAGGGGAAATCATAGAGAGGGAGCCCCATAGGGGAAATCATAGAGAGGGAGCCCCATAGGGGAAATCATAGAGAGGGAGCCCCATAGGGGAAATCATAGAGAGGGAGCCCCATAGGGGAAATCATAGAGAGGGAGCCCCATAGGGGAAATCATAGAGAGGGAGCCCCATAGGGGAAATCATAGAGAGGGAGCCCCATAGGGGAAATCATAGAGAGGGAGCCCCATAGGGGAAATCATAGAGAGGGAGCCCCATAGGGGAAATCATAGAGAGGGAGCCCCATAGGGGAAATCATAGAGAGGGAGCCCCATAGGGGAAATCATAGAGAGGGAGCCCCATAGGGGAAATCATAGAGAGGGAGCCCCATAGGGGAAATCATAGAGAGGGAGCCCCATAGGGGAAATCATAGAGAGGGAGCCCCATAGGGGAAATCATAGAGAGGGAGCCCCATAGGGGAAATCATAGAGAGGGAGCCCCATAGGGGAAATCATAGAGAGGGAGCCCCATAGGGGAAATCATAGAGAGGGAGCCCCATAGGGGAAATCATAGAGAGGGAGCCCCATAGGGGAAATCATAGAGAGGGAGCCCCATAGGGGAAATCATAGAGAGGGAGCCCCATAGGGGAAATCATAGAGAGGGAGCCCCATAGGGGAAATCATAGAGAGGGAGCCCCATAGGGGAAATCATAGAGAGGGAGCCCCATAGGGGAAATCATAGAGAGGGAGCCCCATAGGGGAAATCATAGAGAGGGAGCCCCATAGGGGAAATCATAGAGAGGGAGCCCCATAGGGGAAATCATAGAGAGGGAGCCCCATAGGGGAAATCATAGAGAGGGAGCCCCATAGGGGAAATCATAGAGAGGGAGCCCCATAGGGGAAATCATAGAGAGGGAGCCCCATAGGGGAAATCATAGAGAGGGAGCCCCATAGGGGAAATCATAGAGAGGGAGCCCCATAGGGGAAATCATAGAGAGGGAGCCCCATAGGGGAAATCATAGAGAGGGAGCCCCATAGGGGAAATCATAGAGAGGGAGCCCCATAGGGGAAATCATAGAGAGGGAGCCCCATAGGGGAAATCATAGAGAGGGAGCCCCATAGGGGAAATCATAGAGAGGGAGCCCCATAGGGGAAATCATAGAGAGGGAGCCCCATAGGGGAAATCATAGAGAGGGAGCCCCATAGGGGAAATCATAGAGAGGGAGCCCCATAGGGGAAATCATAGAGAGGGAGCCCCATAGGGGAAATCATAGAGAGGGAGCCCCATAGGGGAAATCATAGAGAGGGAGCCCCATAGGGGAAATCATAGAGAGGGAGCCCCATAGGGGAAATCATAGAGAGGGAGCCCCATAGGGGAAATCATAGAGAGGGAGCCCCATAGGGGAAATCATAGAGAGGGAGCCCCATAGGGGAAATCATAGAGAGGGAGCCCCATAGGGGAAATCATAGAGAGGGAGCCCCATAGGGGAAATCATAGAGAGGGAGCCCCATAGGGGAAATCATAGAGAGGGAGCCCCATAGGGGAAATCATAGAGAGGGAGCCCCATAGGGGAAATCATAGAGAGGGAGCCCCATAGGGGAAATCATAGAGAGGGAGCCCCATAGGGGAAATCATAGAGAGGGAGCCCCATAGGGGAAATCATAGAGAGGGAGCCCCATAGGGGAAATCATAGAGAGGGAGCCCCATAGGGGAAATCATAGAGAGGGAGCCCCATAGGGGAAATCATAGAGAGGGAGCCCCATAGGGGAAATCATAGAGAGGGAGCCCCATAGGGGAAATCATAGAGAGGGAGCCCCATAGGGGAAATCATAGAGAGGGAGCCCCATAGGGGAAATCATAGAGAGGGAGCCCCATAGGGGAAATCATAGAGAGGGAGCCCCATAGGGGAAATCATAGAGAGGGAGCCCCATAGGGGAAATCATAGAGAGGGAGCCCCATAGGGGAAATCATAGAGAGGGAGCCCCATAGGGGAAATCATAGAGAGGGAGCCCCATAGGGGAAATCATAGAGAGGGAGCCCCATAGGGGAAATCATAGAGAGGGAGCCCCATAGGGGAAATCATAGAGAGGGAGCCCCATAGGGGAAATCATAGAGAGGGAGCCCCATAGGGGAAATCATAGAGAGGGAGCCCCATAGGGGAAATCATAGAGAGGGAGCCCCATAGGGGAAATCATAGAGAGGGAGCCCCATAGGGGAAATCATAGAGAGGGAGCCCCATAGGGGAAATCATAGAGAGGGAGCCCCATAGGGGAAATCATAGAGAGGGAGCCCCATAGGGGAAATCATAGAGAGGGAGCCCCATAGGGGAAATCATAGAGAGGGAGCCCCATAGGGGAAATCATAGAGAGGGAGCCCCATAGGGGAAATCATAGAGAGGGAGCCCCATAGGGGAAATCATAGAGAGGGAGCCCCATAGGGGAAATCATAGAGAGGGAGCCCCATAGGGGAAATCATAGAGAGGGAGCCCCATAGGGGAAATCATAGAGAGGGAGCCCCATAGGGGAAATCATAGAGAGGGAGCCCCATAGGGGAAATCATAGAGAGGGAGCCCCATAGGGGAAATCATAGAGAGGGAGCCCCATAGGGGAAATCATAGAGAGGGAGCCCCATAGGGGAAATCATAGAGAGGGAGCCCCATAGGGGAAATCATAGAGAGGGAGCCCCATAGGGGAAATCATAGAGAGGGAGCCCCATAGGGGAAATCATAGAGAGGGAGCCCCATAGGGGAAATCATAGAGAGGGAGCCCCATAGGGGAAATCATAGAGAGGAAACCCCATAGGGGAAATCATAGAGTGAACCTTAACCCTGCTCTCTCTCATTTTAACTTACCTATATCTGCCATCAGGTGACCCTCTAATGGTGCCTCTTCCATGAGTAAAAACTTTTGATCCACCACTTCAGTCTGTCCCATCACCGCTTGGTCTTGTCTCGGCCCTATTTCACGAGGCCGCAGTTTTCAATCCCTTGGGACCCCACCTACTGACAACTAATGGGAGCAGTCCACATCACCAGGCAGCTATGCAGATGCATGAAAAAGGACCCTCCCCTCTTGCAGTCCAGAAGACTCTAGACCAGTGGTTCTCAACCTGGGTAACCTCAGGACCCACATTTGTCCTTGGTCATTAAGTTATAACCCGAGGTGCACAGCAATGGGGAACGCACAGCATTGGGTTACCGGGCGATGGAACTGTGGGTGGGAGGTGCATTTGGGGTGCCATTGAAATGAATGCCAATGCAAAACACCTCCCACACCAGAATGCATGGTAGGTGCAATTGTTGCTGCGGTGCTGTGTCGGAGCTCCATCCATATGCGCATTGTTTGTACAGCTCCATTGCTCGCCCTGTAGAGGTGCCGGGAGCCAGAATGTGACATCACACCGGTCCAGGCTCCTCTACAGGGCACATGAAGGAGCTGTAAGCAATGTACGGAGCTCCCTCACGGCCATAGCCCCATCCCACCCCACCTCAAGCTGACACCTGGCGCCGGGCAGTATATTTTGAATGGCTGCTCGATGTGAGAACTGACAGCGCTGCGCTGGGGGGGGGTCTGAGGAGCCTCTCACCTAGAAAAGTGGAAGGCACGCGGGGACCCACTAAACACGGTGTCGCGACCCACCAGTTGAGAACTAAGGCTCTAGACCAAACATGTCATGTGACTATAGATTTGGGTATTTGGGGCAATAAGATGACTTAAAGGATGAGGACCGTCATATAGTGCAGAGGTGCAGTCCATCAATCAGTGTGGGAGCCATGGGGGAGCAGTAGGGGACACACTACCTGTCGCCATGGTTACCCGGATGTGTAACCCCCAGTGTGGTTTTTAGAGCTTGTTCACATAGTTGTATCATTAGATATACACATCTATAGATTGGACAATAGGGGGGACGCCGTATTATTCTGCAATCACTCATACGTAGAGGTAACCATCCCCCATCATATCTTCAATGTCTGTTACAAGTGGGCAGAATGTGGTCCTCCAGCCACGAAGAAAGGGACACGGCTTTCCCTGACCTGCCCTCCTGCCAACACGCATTCTATCCAGAGTTCCAGAAAAGACGGCGTGTTGGTGAGGATGGAGTGTCACCAAGTTACAGAGACACATGGCTGCTCTGTACAGTGTTGGTGTCACCCTCTGTAGTCTCCTCTAACCCTCTCTGGGTGAGCCTGACAATGACATGGTATATAGACACCTGATCACATGACACTGGGAGGTTATTAGGACACCTGATCACATGACACTGGGAGGTTATTAGGACACCTGATCACATGACACAAATGGGGTAGAAGGACACCTGATCACATGACACAAATGGGGTAGAAGGACACCTGATCACATGACACAAATGGGGTTGAAGGACACCTGATCACATGACACAAATGGGGTAGAAGGACACCTGATCACATGATACTGAGAGGTTATTAGGACATCTGATCACATGACACAAATGGGGTTGAAGGACACCTGATCACATGACACAAATGGGGTAGAAGGACACCTGATCACATGACACAAATGGGTTAGAAGGACATCTGATCACAGGACACTGAGAGGTTATTAGGACATCTGATCACATGACACAAATGGGGTAGAAGGATACTTGATCACATGACACAAATGGGGTTGAAGGACACCTGATCACATGACACAAATGGGGTAGAAGGACACCTGATCACATGATACTGAGAGGTTATTAGGACATCTGATCACATGACACAAATGGGGTTGAAGGACACCTGATCACATGACACAGGATGCTGATGATGGGTAATATATAAGCGGTGCCCATACCTGCTCTCACATCTGATCCCCTCCCCCTTTGTGTCTGCAGAGACCCTTGCAGCGGCTAAAGAGGAGCAGATTGAAATTCAGCAGACACTGGACCAGACGTTGGTGGAGTTGAACAACATGTAATGATGACGTTTCGGCACGGATCCTCCATGTTTTTGGAGCTCACTTAGTATCCACTGCTGCTTTGCCCCGATCTGGTCTCACGCCATCACCCTGCCCTGCTTCCGAGAAATCTCAAGAATGAACTGACCAGAAGAAGATCTGATGACCTTCCACCTCGGCGTCCACTGAGCCTTCCAGTATGTATCATTGTGGATGTTCTCCTCCTGGTATCACAACATACAACATGTTCCGTGAAGAGGTCCATTTCCTCCTGGATTGTGGAAGACACGTGAAGAAGATAAGTCCTTCCAGGTCTCATGTTGGTGAAGGACAATTCCATGTGGATTGAGGGATTCAATAGTTCATTGTTTCCCCGAGAACAGAGCTGGGCCCCTAAAGGTCCTTTCACACCGGATGTCCCTTAGGGTCCAACCCATCGAAACCGGATCTCCCCAATCTGTGTCCAGACACATCATGAGATATCTTCTAGAATTCATCTCTGGAAATGGTCTCCTCCCGTGCAGAACATTCCACCCCGATCCTTCCCATGACTGTTCTTAGGATGTCTTTGTATGTCACGCCAACATAAACCAGAACTCATAACACGTCATCCAGAGCAGAAGAACTCCCAATTATACTGTTACCATATGGAGGTCCGGTCCCAGCACTCAGTAATGTGTCAGCTATGGGGAGTCCTTGCTGCCAATGGTACCCCTCGGCCTGTCCTCTGAGCCTCTGATCATTAGAGCCGAGGTAACCCAACACGGATATGGCCAAAGCTCTGACATGGGACACGTGGACAGATCCCACTGCTGTGTTGTGTCCTATTCCATGAAGTCTCATCAATAAACCTCTACAGTGAAAACCCTCCCGTGGTGTCTGTCAGTTTATTACCGGCGCTGCTCACCGTCTCATCCTCCGTGGTGCGTGTCTCCCCAAGAAACATATTATGTGTTCATGTGACATGCAACATTCCAATCTGAGACCCACTTTACATTTTACCTTCGTCATTTGCAATGGTTCATGTGACTCTGGGCTTAGTAACACTCTAGGCTTAGTAACACACTGGACTCTGGGCTTAGTGACGCACTGGACTCTGGGCTTAGTAACACTCTGGACTCTGGGCTTAGTAACACTCTGGACTCTGGGCTTAGTAACACTCTGGACTCTGGGCTTAGTAACGCACTGGAATCTGGGCTTAGTAACACTCTGGACTCTGGGCTTAGTAACACTCTGGACTCTGGGCTTAGTAACACTCT